TGCCCCCCCGGCGGGTGCGGACGTGCCCCGCTCACTGCCACAGCTCCGGGGAGGAACAAGGCTGGGCCGGGGCGCGGAGCAGAGGGGAGGAAAGGCCAGAAAAGGGACACGGAAAGCCCTTTGGACCCAACAGCTCTGTCCTGCGTGCAGGCCCCCAGCAGAGCCGCACGCCGGCAGAGCAAAATGCCATTGCAAGTACATACTGTCGTGTTACGTCTTCAGCCCAACGCCACGAGTTACAAGCTTGAGGCTAGCCACTCAACTAAAATTTTCCAGCTGTTTAGCCAGATATATTTCAATACTGATAATCGGATGGAGCCAGATTTATTCCGATGCGGCTGATACACCAGACGGTTGCGCTGCCATTCAGAGAGAGTGACCTCGACAGGCTGGGGAAACGGGCAGAGGGGAACCCCATGAACCTCAGCGAAGGGAAGTGCAGAGTCCTGCACCTGGGGAGGGACAACCTCACGCCCCAGCACAGGCTGGGGGCTGACTTCCTGGAGAGCAGCTTTGCAGAGAAGGACCAAGCAGTTGGCCATGAGCCAACCATGTGCCCTTGAGGCAAAGAGGCCCAGCAGCCTCCTGGGCTGCATTAGGAGAAGCGTCGCCAGCAGGTCAAGGGAGGTGATCCTGCCCCTCTGCTCTGCATGGGTGGGCATGTCTGGGCTCCTCACTACAAGACAGACATGGAGCTACTGGAGCGAGCGCTGTGAATGGCCACAAGAATGATTACGGGACTGGAGCATCTGTTATGCGAGGGGAGGCTGAGAGAGCTGGGACTGCTCAGCCTGGAGAAGAGCAGGCTGCGGGGGATCTGATCAACGTGTGTAAATAGCTGATGGGGAGGAGTAAAGAAGATGGAGCCAGACTCACCTCGGTGGTACCCAGGGACAGGATAAAAGACAAACTGAAACACAGGAAGGTCTGTTTGAATAAAATAAAACACTTTTTCACTACGAAGGTGATCAAACACTGGGAAGAGGTTGCGCAGAGAGGTTGTGGAGTCTCTATCCTTGGACATATTCAAAACCCAGCTGGACATGGCCCTGAGCAACCTGCTCAAGTTGACCCTGCTTTGAGGAGGGACTTGGACCAGATGATCTCCAGAGGTGCCTTCCAACCTCAGTGATTCTGTGGCTTGTAAAGCAACATGCAGAGTGGATTTTATTGTTCAAGCAAGAGATTTTCATATCTGAGATGTGACTACTTTTCTCCTTTGCTTGGATGACATTAGGAAATACCTTTAAACTGGTCTAAAGAAAAGAGTAACACTTTTCACTGAGAAAGAGCAAACCTATCATGTATTACAGCACACTGCAGTACCCAGAAAACAGCTACACAGTTGTATACAAACACATGCACTTGCATCATAGCTCTGTTACTGCAAAAAGCAAGCAAAAGCTTGATGAACTCAGATAAATGAAATCACTTGTAAAGTCACTCTCTGGTAAAGGATTATCCTACTGTTTCTTTTCTAGTATTATTACAGACCTGGTGATAAAACAGATTCAGTGGTGATCAAACAGATCAGTGGTGATCAAACAGATTGAGGATGGATAACGTAATCTTAAAATACTGCTCTTTGCTATGAACTTCATGTTGTCCTAGTAGTTTACTGTATTTCAGCATGAAATATTTTGAAATATGACAAATAAAAAATAAGAAAAAAAGCTATAAGTTGTAGTATAGAATTCATAACATATGTCCTTTATGGTTAAAATCCAGTTCTCAAAGATATTATGGGATCAAAGAAATATGGGAAGGCACTTCTCTACTTCCTTGCAGCTCCCTTCCCGCTCATAGCATCCATCCACTTGGCTTTTCCTTGCCACTCTTGCCAGTACGGGCAATGTCTCCTAGGTTGTTGCTGAAGAGCCAAGAGTGCTTGAAGGTTTTAAAGCAGACAGTTAGAAAAGATAGAAGAGCCATATCCAAGAAGAGCAAAAGAGTAAAAAGATGGGTAAATAAGGAAGGAAGCACGCAGAGATAGATGAAAATACAATACAAGAAACCCCTTAAAGAAAGACACAGGACAACATGACATGAAATTTAGAGGGGAAGAAAAAAGCCATTCAAGTTTTCAGAATAAAATATATCTACACAGCACACGTAATTTCTTTTAGGTACGCTAAGGAGCTGCGTAGTTAGCTTTGGGCAGTGCAGTAATAACCGGTAACAACTGCAAAATTTGAACCCAGAACTTGACTCTACCCAGGCATTCCCCCAGGGCTAAGGAGAGAAGAAAGAAAATGTGAAAAGAGAAAAAGGGCTTCCAGTGAACTTTTTGTCAGGGGCTTCTATGGAAACAGAAAAACTCACAGCCAAAGACAGATGAAAAGCAGAACAGAAGCAGGAAAGCAGCGAGCATGCGCTGATCTTACCATGTACTTGTGCAATTTTGAGTACCTTTTGGAGCAACACACCGAACAATCTTTCTGTCATCGATATTTCTCAAGCTTTTCCCTATCTATTTTGAATGCGTTATATGCAGAGATATATAAGACATCTTGTCCTTTTCTGGAGAATCCCTGTTAAAATAGACAAAATAATCCATCAGTGTAATATTCATCACTCAACTCAGTTCAGCGAGGGCCTTGCTTACAAGAAAATATTGCCTCCTATTTTCTAAAAATATCTGCTAATTCATTGAGGGGCAATCATTTTTAATTTAAGACTTCCACTTCTGACATCTGCTTTTTAAGCTAAATGCTCAAGGCCTATAACCCAGCCCAAGAGCAAAACGTAAAATCCTTGAGCACTTAAAAAGAAGTCTACTTTTGCATTTAATTAAAATCAACAAATTGAAGGTTGTTATTTATAATTTTAACCTAATTTAAATAATAGTTTAGGGAAAATTTAGTAGGTAAAGTGAAATACTCATTGGGGAACATGAGGTATACATGATAAGTAATTATTACCTGGAAGTGCAAGTTTTAAATCATGAACAACTGCTTTTAAGTAACTGATTCAATTTCTGATGGCAAAATTGTTAAAGAACCATTCCATAAACTGTAAAGCTAGACAGTTTTACTGTCTAACTAGTAAACTAGTTAGACTAGTAGACTAGTTAGACTAGGTCCACTAGTTTAGTGTCTAACTAGTGTTAGACACTAGTTTAGCCACTACTAGAATGGAATATTTTCCTGCTGTAAATGTTCTATAGGTTGATTCTTGGTAGTAAAATCATCTTCCCAGAACAGCAAACATTATCACATTGTGAGGTGTGTGCATTTTATCCTTTATTAGGCAGTAGCAAAATCCGAGGACATCCTATGCTTAAAATGGTACATTTGCTTATTACCACCACTGTATTGCAAGTACCTTGCAATGACTTAACACAGCCCGTATTGGCATCTCTGACTTTAACAAAGCACAAACACAAGAGACCACAACAGCCTAATGAGCTGCCCACTCTGCATGCACCACAGCAACATGGTCTTACCCAAGCAGCTCTTGCAGGCACCAGAGCCAATTGTAGGGAAGAGCAAAGCTAGGACTGCAGGGCCCTGAAAAGTTCTGGAGTCACTCAGGCTACTTGTGCCTACAGCCAACCCTGACATTAACTAGTTCCAATAGTTTTGGCTTCAACTCTCACGCATTAACTTTCACATTTTAGGATGAAGAACGGAAAAAAAAGTTTCCAAACATAGTTCCTGTGGTTTGCATTCAGTTCTAAACTTCCTTCATTGCAGTGCAGCCTCGATGCTGCAGGCCGTTTTTGATCTACAGATGGCTGAAATAAGGTGTGATAAGGACAACTACCTAGCAGAAAACAGCAGAAGGTAACAGATCTGGCTATCAGCAGTCTGCTGAGTGCCAAACCTCTCAGCTAGGACAATGGGAGCCTTCTGAAGCAGTGGCTGGATGTTAAGAGTGAGCTGAAACAGTCTTCGACACCTCTGCAGAACCTCAGTGTTCAGTCCAGTGCATGCCAGTAGCAGTGCTGTGAGAGGCATTTTTGATGCTTATTCTTGTGCAGTGGAGCCAGGACAGCAATAGCAGCTGAAGTTTTAAGGGCTGGGGTCTCAGGAGATGGTCCGCTTCCATCTTTACTCACATCTTCATGCCTATGTATGAAATATTTTGACTTCCTCACTATCTCATTATTTTGTTAGGAAACATCAAGGTATCTTTAAGCATTGGGAAGGAGTCCAAATGATGTGCCCAAAATAGTGATTTCCCAAGAACAAAATAACATCTGGTATAAATTTGTCTGGGGAACTGATTTTAAGCTTTCATAACTTGTCTGAATATTCACTTGAGATTCACTAAATAGTATTTGTAAGAAAAGCTCAACTACTTGTTACTTGAATTCGGTGCATCTTCCACCTTGTTATTGTAAGTCTATTTCAATGAAAACAACTTAAAACAAATTCTAAAATGCAGATGTTCAATTTATTATACAGAGAATATCATTTGCAAGGAGTCTTGCAATGCATTCCCTCAAGTACAATACAGTACACCGTTCTCCACAATAAGTTACATAAAGGCAAATTTTATGTACATGAAAAAAGGATCAGTGCCCAGCGTATCTGCTATTCAGAAATCAAACATTTAAATCTCTTAATTGCGTTCAGAATTCTTGAACCAAACTGAATTAACAAACAGATCTTAATTAGCTGAGTTTGAGAAGGGTTTTCAACTAACTTCTAAATTCAGTGGAGACCAAGCAAATGGTTCAACCACTGAATTAGCATTCTCAGCACTCATTTTTAAAAACAAAGATACAAAAAAAGGCATGCCATAAGACAGCATATAAGACAACATGGAGAAAAACGCCCTGCCTGCATTTCAACTGTTTATGTACCCTGAAATATGCAAAAGGAAAGTAGGGAAGTAGCAGTGCCATTGTATAAGGCACTGATGAGAACACACATGAAATAGAACTCTGCTCATGCATGTTAAAAAAATTAACTCAAATTGAAAGAGTGAAGAATAAGGCTACTAGGATTATTAGTGGAATGGGGAGTGTTCTGTGAAGAAAGATTATAACAGCACTTGCTTTTTCCATCTAGTGGAAGAGCTAACAGTCTATGACTACCTTCTAAAAACATGCCAGGGAAATGCTAGAGGAAGAGAAAGAAAGCAAAAGGACAATATTGGCATAGCAGCAAATGGACCACCAACAAAGGTATATTGAAAGGAAAAGACAGTTTCTCAACTTTAAGGCTGAGAGGTACAGGCAGGACCTTTCAAGAAGGAGTAGTGAGGCCAAACATCCTTGAACAACTAAGTTTCTTTACCAGGACAGCTCAGTTTATAAAAGGGAGTCTAAGACATGGTGTCTACTGTGGGAAAAGACTAGACCCAGAAACAGAACTGTTCCTAACCTGCTTGACCCATCACCAAGATAAGAAAGTGGTGTCTCTTTTACAATGTGACACTATATTGAAGGCTTTACAATTCTACTTTAAAAGATTTTCATTTCCTCCCCTTTCACATAAATCCTTCCATATTCAACAATGTGAATGTCTTAATATAGGAGATACAGCACCAAGCTACTGCTGTGAAGTCAGCAACCAGTCAGCATATCTTGTATACCTTTTTACAGTGAGATTCTTTCACACTTCCCTTGTTCCACCCCTTTCTCTCGTTTCTACTACGGAATGTAAATAAAGCATCCTGCAAAGATACTGTGCAGTGAGCCATACAGGACTGAAAATACTCTGCAGGCAACACAAAAGATTATTTAATTTAATTCATAAAATAATGCAGATAAGAATCACAATGTACCATGTGAAAAAGTGTTGAGTTGTACATTTCACTGATATGGTTTTCCAATCCATACTGAAGACACTTTCCTTGAACTATACAAGCTTCCCAGATTCTTATTTCAGGTGCTTGAACTGGTAAGATATGAAGGTAATAGCATATCAGTCAAAGAATTACTTAGAAAACAAAAACAAGAACCAAAAAACCCCTAAACTCTTCTTCACTGAAAAAGAGAGGCACTGCATTTTCAAGCTGAATTAAGGCTGTAAAATGATGCTGGTTCACTGTGAATTTGCAGTCGTCATCTTCACCCTGCTGCGGGGGCTCCATTTAACCCACTGCTTCACTGTTAGTCCTATAAGCCTGTTTACGGAGATGAGTCTCGATCTCCTCCCTGAAGACCAGCATGCCAAGGTGCGAGTGAGATGCTTCGTTCATGGCTTTGGATTGGATACACATGCGATACTGCTCCGGAGTCAGTTCATCCGCACAGTGTTTCTCATGCCAGAGGTGGAAGAGACCAGGGACTGGTGTCCTCACCACAATAAGGTCACCGTGCAAGTACTTCCTGTAGAGGTGAACGTCCTCACCGCCCCAGCCTTTCACTTCCAAGTCAAACCCTCCTATAAAACAACATCAGAAAAAACGTTGGACATAGATTATGCACTGCTGGCATCAGGGAGCCTCTTACAACAGACTCTCCAAATCACATTATGCATGATATACCATGTGACATCTGCAGAAAATGGTAAGCAAAACTTACTGGGTATGCTTTTCTGTTATTTTTAGCCATCATAATGGATTTTAGCATCTGGATAAGGAAGCAGTCATGCACCACTTGAAAAAGCCTTCTCTATGAAGGCCAGCAATTACTCTGTAGATCACAACTCAAAACTCTGGATAAAGAGAAGGAATCCAGTTCCACCATTTTAAGTTCTCTTGTCTTACCAGGACCATAGCGAAAAATCAATCCAGACTGATGCACAAACTAAAAAAAAATCTAGAATTCTGTCATTTTCATCTTGCACATAACACACACACGACAACACGACTGTTACTAAAAAATAAGGCTGCATTAACTAGCTATCTAGCACTTAAGGCAAGCAATACAATACCATCTACTTCGGGCAGATCTTTTCAAGACAGCCTTCTAAACTGAAGAACATCAAACTGTTCTGAGTTCTAATGGCAAGCCACAAGAGGGCGCCACAGTATATGTCTAAAGTCTTAAGCCAGTATATCCAACTATTACTACTCAAACTTTTAAAAAAAAAAAAAGCGAATTTTAACATTGCTTTTCTATGTGAGGTTTACTTGAAAGGTTTGAGAGATGTGCTTCAGGAAAGAACTTGGTTAATTTGCTTCACATAACCGAAAGGACAAAGAAATGAAAGATTTTTAGAAGTTCTTGAATAAAATGCTGTTGATATTAACAAGCGTTGCGGCTTTTAACAACTGTTGGTCAGATGGCATGTCAAAATCTAAGAAAACTCACTCTTTTTTCAAACTTGACAGTCAGCAAGCCTGACTGCTGGACTTTAGCAAAATAGTATGAGACATAAATGTATTACTTTCTTGAAGTTAAATAAGAATAGAGAATCAACTTTTGAATACCTCGCTACAAAACAGGTTTTTGTTTAATTTCATCTTACCAACAGTCAGAAAGTCTGTCCGATATTGACAAGTCATCCCAAAGCCAAAATCCCGCCAGAAACCAGAATCCTTCTTGTGTACCTGCAATTTTAAAATGCTAGTGTTTTGAAATGTAAGATACAAAGGAAGTACACTGTACTTGGTTTTGTAGAAACCTAAATTCTTCTGATCATTTGCTCAATGCAGGATACAGCATATATTCAAATATTTCAAACATTTCTGTGCTGTAATATATTGCATACTTGTGGACCTGCTGTTCACTTCATCATTTTACCTCCAATTCCAAATACTTACTCCCTTTGCAGTTTCTACTTCCACCTTTCTTCTACTCTACTGTTTTCTCTATCCGCTCAGATCAAGCGAACAATTTTTGGTAGTATATTACCAAATCATCTGTTCCCAGGACTCCAATTCCTACCCAGTTTCTAATGCCACATTTGTCCCCTCTTGTTTCGATATTACAAGAACAGTAAGCTTTATGGTTGAAGTCAGCAACCATACAGCTGTTGGATTCCAAGTAAATAACACAGCTGTCAGGCTACAGTTCACACTTCTCCCAGCTGTGACTACTTGAGGCCACAAGCAAAAGCTTCCCTTCTAACTTCTGCAGTATTCTAGCAAATAACTATTTTTTGGTGGGTGGATGCAGGAGTGTGTCCCTCTTTTAGCAAGACCGTGTTACTCTTTCCTTTCTGCCCCCCAAACTTATCTACCTCAAGAAGTACCAGCTGTTAAAACTTCGATTTCATTTATGCAGCCTCTTAAAGAGAGGATAAGGCTGGGCATTAATTGTGACCCTTCCACCTTCAGGCAACAAAGATGGAGAAATATAGCCCTTCCTTCTTTCTGCTGAGCCCCAGATTATCCCTTAACATATTCTCTTGAATGTTTGTAGGTTTTATTTATTATTTTCACTACAAGCTCCCCTAAGAAGTAGTGTTTCACCTGCAGAAAGCAAGATGTAATTAATAGCATAACATCCAATGATTCTGGTGGATGTTGGATGGTAGAGGCAAATAGACAACTTGCATGAAGAGGACACCTATATATAGCATGAACAGAGTAACTTGCCTTGAATATCTTGCCTACCTCAACTTACATTGAATTTACCCTGCAACTATCATTTGTTGGTTAACAAAGTAGTCTATATTGAGGGAAGCTTATCAAGAAGTGTTCAGAGAGTTTTCTGTTCGTACCTTCTCTGGCTACTGGAGCACAAAGAGACAATTGTTGCCATGGTACAGTTATGTCCCTATCCTGATAAAACTCTTGTCTTTCCAAGCCAGAATTACGCCAGTAGGCCAGAACCACCAACTTCCTTTCTTTAGTTACACATTTTTCTAAAATCTAGATAGAACTCCAGTATTACCTAAGAATATTCAATTTTTGTACTGTTTGATAAGCTTCTTTTCCAAGTACTTTGCCTATAATGGAGAAAAGTGTTTAGATTCTTAGACACATTGCCAAAGGTTCTAAGATAGCCCAAACACACTAGGTCACACTTGATTTTGTTTTAATACAAGGCACAACTAATTCTCTTCAGAATAAATCAGACTACTTACCAACTGCTGCTCCACAGGGGGTGGTACATCTTGGTTGGCATAGACAATAGCAGGATTATAGAGGCTAAATACCACAGGATAAAAAACCTTTTTTCCTAGAAGTCAAAAAGATAGTTGTTATTTATTATGACCATCCCCCTTCTGAAGGCAAGAGGAAACCAGCAGTCTCTCTATGTGAAATGTTATTAGCAATCTAATGAAAACAAGCATAAAGTCTATCTGCTAGGATTTTTCACTCAGGGAGACTATAACGTCTTCTGAGGCAGAGCCCACAGGAAAATAAAACACATATATAAATAGCACAATATCACATTGGATGTCACAGCAAAAACTCCTTACAACAATGGTAAGCAGTTAAGCTACAAAAAAAACCAAGTAAGCTCATAAAACTCAGGTCATGCAGGGTGTTGCCTCTTTCCATAAGCATTCAAAGGCATGTTATTTCCAGCATGTATGAGCCCTGCAAGGTCGTTAAACATTTTAAGTGCATCGATTATGGTGTGACACCAGTTCTACATCTGTTACAGAAATCTGACAAGTGTTTTTCAAGGATTTCTTGCATTGCCAGTAGTGGACAGGCATCAGCATTAGCCCACGAGAATACACAGTATTCTGGTTCGGGCATCAACTCTGACCATGCGTGAGGTGTCTTCAGATCTTCCTTGAAGCAGAGGTGGCACACTGTTAGCAAAAATTGTCAAGCAGTCTCTCAAACTCCCTTCCGTGTGAAAGCTGACAAAGTGCTCCTCTCCAAAGTTTTCCCAGTTACTTATACAATCCATTTCATGTCACAACCCATACAGACAAAAGTAAAAGAGCAAGAACTGGAATCCAAATATCTGATCTATAGCAGTCTCTTGACCATTTATTATGTGAAGCAAAATACCTATTCATTCCAAATTGGCATTTGAAGAAAAATATTTGACTGCAATAAATCTGGAATAAGAGTAAGCAGTAAAAAAACAAAACAAGAACGTTTGACAAGAGGAGGCCTTGTTAGAGTGCATGAGAATAGAGTTCAAAACTCGAGGAAGCATTTTATTCTTATAGAAGCTTTCAAAACAAGCAAGCTTCATAAACTTGAGGCAAGCTGGTCAGAAAACTGCAGCGCTTGGGATGTAAATGTGGAACCCCAGCTCTGCCTCAGTCTCTATAAGTCTCTATGTAGCTTTACTGTAAACCACTCGTGTCTTGGCCATATAAGTGTAAATGCTAGAAGACAAAACTGACTTGTTAGAGATTTTTGTTCAACAAAATCACCTTCCACTTCCATAAAACTTCACAAGGAGCTCTGTTACAAAGTCTCCTACAAATTAATTATAAAAAATTAAAACTATCCAACTTTCTTATTTAGCTAAATCAATAGAAGATGTGAAAACTTATCTATTGTACAAAAAAATACAATGAATCTCAAGACAAATCACGCCAAGGCAGAAGTTATTTCCTCAGTCTTGATACTATTTTCTTTTGAGCACAGTTATTTTCCCTTTTGCTAGATGCATGCTACTGAACAGGTTCCACCATTCAAACTAGTCTACGTGCTCAACTCAAGACAGTTTAAAAGCTAAACAAGACAAGACTCAGTTACAGCAACTTAAAAGGAATGTACCAGGCTCAGCATTCAAGCGACAACTGTTGAGGAACTCAGCTGTGAAATAAACATCAACATCACAGAAGAACATCAGGACCTCGCCCTTCTCCCAGGCTCTGGCACCCATGTCAAGTCCCCGGCCACGGTTAAATTCCTCATTCAAAGAGACAAGTGTGTAATTATGGAAGTTAGTTTCTCTGAAAAGAAAAATAGAGTCAAATTCAAAATACATCCATGTCGGGGGGTGGATGATCTTTTATACTTTTCCAGTATTTCACAGTAGTTTTGTTTCAGACAGTTTTAAAAATCCAGTTCGGTAGCAGGATGAGAAAGAATCAGTTCCACTTAGTCTCTTTAAAAAGAGAGTTTAGACAGTGCAAAGAAATGGACCTGAGTCTTACTTCGTAACTTAACCTGGCAATTGATTATTCAGACAGATTAAAAAAGCCTTCTGGCAATGGATGTAAATTGAAACGTTCTCTGAAATTACAATAGCATCTGAAAACTGTCCCCACAAACTGAGAATTCCTCACTAATAGGGCAATATCCCTGTCTGATCCCCTGAAGTCTTCACCAAGTCTGAGAGGAGCTCAAGCCAAGAAAGCCAGAGTGCTGCCTCCACCAAAATCATGGGGCACACGTGCACACACTTGCTGCAGAAGAGGGCAAGTGTAGCAAGAGAAGCTGGAAATACACCTGGGGAATATCTTCAAGCAAAATAAACTGCTACTTCTGAGACACTTCACAGGGCAGTTCTTGAAGATACAGAGTGAAGGTATTCAAGAGTAGCATGATTAAAAAGATAAAAAGCCCAGATAGAGACACAGTGAGTCTGCTGCAAGAAGAACAGAAAGCCTCGTGGCAAGTGTAGCAGGGGGCAGAAAGTGCCTCAGACACAGGAGGAGCAAGCACTCAGTGAGCTAAAGACTCAGTGAGTCATGGTGGCTTTACAGGAGTAAGACAGAAGAATTCATTGCTACCTAAAGGTTTCTATGCACGACAGAACAATTCACCCTAACATTTTAATCCAGCAACACAATAGTCTGTCAAATTGTTTCACTAGAAAAGACTTGGCCCTGTGTTGTACGACAGGGACATGCAGGCCCCGGGCTCAGTCCCGGCTAACAAGCTTAACAGGCTCAGGAAAGAGAATAAGAGCTCAGCCAGAGAACTAACTCCTCAGAGACTGATGGACACAACTACTCAGTCTGAGATAGGTTTCTCACCTAATGGGCAAAGCTGTCTCATTCCTGCGGAGACAGAAAAGCAACATTTGGGAATTCTATACCCCAGCTGCTGTAACGCGATTTGCTGTAAGTCATGACTGATGAAACACCCTTTGTTTGAAGTTGTTCTATATAGGAAAGGTAAGTATAGGGGATATTCAGGAGCCATCATATTGTGCGTACAGGATAAAGCTTAACTTCTCAATCAAATAGTCAAGGCTGGTGGGCTGCTTAGTCTACAGCAGCCAGTCTTTTCTCTTCTTCAACGTTAAAATAAGTTCTCCACTGAGAGCGCTGTCATGATGCACATCCCAGTTTAGTAGCAACTAAATATTGTTTCATTAATTCTGAACAGTCTGTTAATGTGACTGAATATTCATAGCAAAAATTCATTCTTGTATTTTTTGGTGCTGTCAGAGGAAAACCTCAAAGCCATTATGGCTAGTCCTTCTTGGCTTATAACTTGGATTTTTAGTTGCGCATGCCTTCAGATACAGAAAACTCAAAACATCACCTGTAAGTTTACTGGAGACTTTTGCAACTTAAGCTTTAGTTGCAGTGAATAATTTGTTTGGCATTTCAAAGCTTATTTATCAACCTGCACCTGCCTGTAAAATTCTTCATGTTATTGTTTCCTTGTTTTTTTAAAGGAAAAAAATCACTTTAACTGCCAATCAATATTGTTTGAATTGACTGATGTTGGATATACTTACCTAGCTACAGACTCTAGGATGCTTTTTACTTCTGACAGCCCATCTTGTCCAAAATATACCACAGTGAGATGAATACGCTTATCCTGATGAATACACACATCCCTATAAGCACAAAGATGAGCTTGTATTATTACTTGCAATATAATAGGAACCTCAGGTACCTCAAAAAAACATTGGCAGTTATAAGTATGTTGGAGATACTTTAACGAGCTTTTAAAGAAAGCAAAGAAAAACGTTGTCCTGCTTCTTTCCCCCATCTTCCCCATTTGGATTGGAAGGTACCAATATTGTGTGCCTCATTCCAACACCTTATTTTTGAAACAGGAGCTCAAAAGCTGATATAAGTCTAAAAATGAGCGTGCTCAAGATCAATTTCCAGATTCACCATGGCCCTGGCATTCAGTCTAAAAGGGCTTTTGGTGTAGTTTGAGAAGCTCTTAAATCCATTTAGAGGGAACGTCTTCTCTACACAATAGGTTCAGTTACAAACATTCCAAGGCAGTCGCACACAATGTTGGAATCATTAGTTCTATCATAAATCTACCAGAACAGAAATTGATTTGGAAAAAGAAAAAAAATACTGAAAGTCAGCAACATAGCTCACTATATAGTCTAACACACCTACCTAAAGTTTTGCATAAATTGAGCAAATGCCTCAGTTCTTCCAGCAAGCGGGACAATAATGTTAATGATTGATCTAGAAATATCGACTGTTTCACTCTTCACTTTCATGAGTGGTCCAAAAGGTCGGAACAATGTGACATGTCTGTATTCCATGCCATCCATCTTCTTATAAAAGAGTTCATACTGCGTCCCCTTATCTCTTTCTGTACGATAGTAACCTGAAGAATAAGTCACAAGCAATTTATGAAATAAAAGGTCCCAGTAATTTTATTTCAGAAATGCTTTCTCCTGAGAACTATAAGGAAATGAAAAACAAAACTATTTGGGAAAAGCTCTTCTGTTTTTTCCTAAGATAAGCAAAAGCAAAATCCCACAAACCACTATGAATCACAACCACTGTCCTGCCTTCTGAGCATAGATCTGAGAAACTATCTCAAACCAATAGCTCCCCCTTGCTTCTCAGGGCTCAGCAATAGGTTTTATGGTCCCACGTCAACTTCTCAGGCAGGTTTTCAAGCAAAATAAGAACTGGGTCTTCTCTGTGAAAGAGGAATTCAGCCTTGTTATCTAATATTGCCTGTTCTTAATCCATTCAGTAAGGGGCCATCCTTCCCCGAGCTACGCCACAGTAATAGCCGAGATCATTTGGCCAGCAATGGACACAACACAAGCTGTGAGATGAAATATAGTAACTTGGCAAAACCCATAAAGTCTGAAATACGACACCAAAAGAAAATCCCTGTGTGATAAATGCTGGAACACTTTAAAACTATTGTTTCGGTTGCTGACCGCAAGTTACAGTGTTTTCTATCCCATAAATAAGGATAGTGGCATTTTGCTACAGACGTGGTGTTCAAAGGACATAGAACAAGTTTTCCACGTAGGTACAACACTTTTTGACAAAACAATTGGTCTGCTATAGATAAGATTATCAATTTAGAGATATTTTGCCATAAGATGCTTACTGGGTAACAGAATCTATCCCTTTCAGGACAAATATTTGAAGTTGCTGACTGCTTTCATTTAAGACCCATCAAGGAATTAAGCCAAACCAAATAGCCTCTCCGATGTTAAATCACAAAGAAAAAGACCAAGACTCATCTGTGGATTTGACTGGCTCGAGCACTGGATTGCTAATCCCACACCTGTATTACTTCATGCTAGCCTGAGGGTAAAAAGCAATGACAGGAAAGATACTCCAACAGAATTGTCCTTTGTTCATGCCATCTCAGCACTCCTCTCCCCTCCCATAAGAAAAAGGTGGACTATAGTTAAAGAGCATAAGCTACATAACGAACCAAACGACTTTCAACTGAGTAGGCCACAGACCACTGTAAAAGCTAGGAATAGCTACATATCCCAAAACAGGACAAACACCAGTCCATTTCCAGTCACTTGGCAGGTCACAGCTTGACCTGCCTTTTCTCCTGCAAGCAAGCCTACCGAGCAATCGTTCTAGTCCCACTTCTGAAATCCTCTTCCAACCTCCCGCCTGCAAAGAAGCTGACAGGAAATAGGATATATGAACTGTTCTAGTTCTTTTTAGCTCAGAAGTAGAAAGAAGGGGTCTTACAGCTCTTCCACTTTTCCTCTTGGAGAAACCTATCTCCACACTGCAGGGCTTTTTCTGTGTGGGTTTTCCTCCATACTCCTTTCCTCCCATTACTTTCTCATTCCATACAAAAAGCAGAGGTATGTGCACACAGTCTTGCCCCAACTTTCTTCCTCTGCACTCTGGACTCCGCCTCTACCTTCAACCTACATCCAGTTGCTTCATGTCCTTCCCCTGGATTTACCTAACTCTCGTGACATCCTTTGCCTCAGCTTCCTTACCCCAACCACTCCCTAAACACATCCAGTTTCCCCTCCTTCTGCCTCTGTCCTGTATCTGCCTCTCTTTAAGAGCAAGTTCCCTGCTCCACATCACTATTTTGCTTCCTCTAATGCAGTTTTCTTGCAGGTAAGCACATGCACTAACAGAATTTACAGGAAATGCAGATTACTATCAGAGAGAGCCAGTAGGAGACAGGATATGGTAGAACAAGCTGGTGCCATGATTGAAAGTTACTGGTGACCAAATAAAACCTTTCAACTAGATGCTCTCCAGCTGTTTAAAGAAGAGTGCATTACAAAACTTTGTTAAGACATATCCATCCACTTTTATTTCTTTGTGAACATACATCTACATGAAGTACGTACCATGTTTTAATACTTATGACAAGCACGACAATTTCAAATTGGCATGTTAATTACAAGTATTGAAAAGGGTGTTTCAGTGCAACAGTGAAAGTTCACAAAATGTTGAACTGTTACAAGTAGAAAAAAAACGTAAGTCCCTGTCAGGCCTTTTCCACTCTTACCTTTTGTGTGGAGTAGTCCAACGCCGTATCTTGAAAACAGCTTCTTGGTTAGAGGAGCAGTTAATTGCACCATAGTAAGTGTGTCCACATTGTGTTCTCATGTGATATACCACAAATACTTTACACCACTACTCCTGGGTATATTAACATTCAGCACCGTTTATTCCTTTCTCTAGTATCCAATAGCTATTTAAAGATGAAAATACATCCTAAATAGTAAGCAAAGTTTTGAAAAGTATCTGTCACAATTGCCAGTAGCTTATCGCTAAATCCAAGGATAAGCTGAGACTTCCGTCTACAACATGACGCTGGTATAGGACGGAGAAACAAATTCTTCACTGAAATAATTAAAAAAATAGTTGTATTTTTGCTGTATTTGCTATACGCATGTAACTTGATAGAGACTTTAATATACAAGTCCAAGTTTGAGTAGAGACTTGTGAACATTCACTCATTCCAAACTTTTGTCTCTCAACATTCTGCTATCACCTCACTTTCTTTTTTATTTTATTTTAGTAGCAAGTATGCGTTCCTGAAGCTACTTTCCTTGCTATAAAGCCCACCTCCCCACGTAATCTACACATTTCAATGATTTTATGAAATTAAAACTTCTATGCACAAAAGAAATCAGAATTGAGAACAGAAAGTTCACATCTGTTTTGCCTCTTAGTATGTACTGGTTTTTAACATTCAGACATGAATGTTAAAACTATGTAAAAAAATTTAAACTCACTCACATACTCACTATGTAAAAAACCACTGCTATCTTACCTTCCAACTACTATACACTGGCTTCCATTCACAGCAGAGATCCGCAAACAAAGTAAAAAACAATAGAAATAGTTTAACAGCCGTTAAGTTCATAAAGCTTTATTCACTTTGCAGAGAAGTTCTGTTTCTCACCAGCTAAGTTAAATCTTAGAAATACTGGGAATGGATTATATTTTATCAAAGCCAAAAGTTGTTCTTCTATTCCCTTGAAGGCTTGTAATCTTACATTTGGTGTTACCAAGAAAGTATTTCGTCTATAGAATCTAAGATCTACGTACCATTTTCTATTAAAATTCCCTGATGAAATTCTCAGGACACTATTTTCTGATCTTATGGGGATACTCAGGGGATGTTTGCATCACAAACAGTCCCCAGGGTTTGAAGGACGGCAAGGACTCTGGAAAAGGCTTGACTGAGTATACAGCATTGGGATACACCATTTTTCCATCCCAAGGATATATTTTGGATGGGGAGTCTTCCCTTGAGACTCAAACCTAAAGATTTTCTGGACTTTGTCCAGTCCCAGCTGGACACACAGAAGCAAGAAAAGCAGGCTCAGACAGCACTCAAATTCTGGTAGCCATTCAGTAACAATATCTTTATTAGCTAGCAATGAGAGATTAGATTCCAGCTAAAAATGAGCAGTGCAGTACAGTTCCTAGCGGCAACAATTATCTTCTGAAAATACACTTACGCCTATTTTCCAAGGGTTATTTTTAACGGCTAGTCAACAGAAGAGCTCTCAACCTAAAATATACCAAATGAATGAGCTAAACTGAAAGTAATATATAGATGTCTAGGAAGGCTCATGAAGAGTTTGCATCACTATGCCAGACTTCAACAACACAGGCTTCTGAAGAAAGGGGACAGAAAGAAGCAATACCCTTACGTTATCTTCTTCATCCTCTATTCTCAATATTATCACACATGGAAGTCAAAGAAAGCTTCTACTTGTAATCCAGATCTCTCTTAGAATGCCTAATTTAGCAGTCAGTTTCATTATTTGTAGTCCTAAACCCCTTCATTCATGAAAACACAGTGTATCACAACTTTTATCCCCTTCAGGGGTGCTCTTCTGGCAAAGGAAATACTGCTAGGAATACAAAAAGAGAAATCCTCTTTTTCTCATGATATTCTCCACAACAGTCACAAGATCTAATGGAAATATTAAGAATGCAAAGTGCCTCTCAAACAGAAGTTGCTGAATAAGACTTTTAAGGTCAGATTTGTTCTATTAATGCTACCTTGAGAATGTTTGAGGCTTCCTTTTGGGTTGCAGAGAAAGGGAAAAAATAACAGCGTGGTAAACCCAGCCCTACAGATCAGAGAAACCTAATGGTTTTGTCTTCATCAGCAAGTTATCTTTATAGTTGCAATGTGTGTTTGCACATCATTTCTATTTTGTGTTATTGTTCTAAGCTGTCAATAGCCATCACATGGCTGTGGCAAGTGTGCCCAATCGCAGCTCCAAAGCGGGTGTGGAACATTACTCTATCATGCAACACAAAAAAAAAAATTAACATCATTTTGGATAAGACTTTAAAAAAAGGCTGCTCCCTAACATGGGTACAGGTTCCTTACATCAGTGGTGGAAGTCAGAATATCCTCATGTAAAGAGACCACAGAGGCTGAGCAGATTGTGAAAGAGCTGCACGAACAGTTAGATCAAGGACAGAGTGGAAAACAGAGCAGCAACAGGGACATTACTATCCATTAGAATATATTTTGAAGTTTTTCAGCCTATGTAGTATTAGAAGAGTAAAATAAAGTGTATTCTTTCTACCGTGTATAGAGTAATTGAGTATGCCTTTTCTGTAAAGGCTAAAATAAAGATTAAAAAATTAAATTTAGACAAATTTAAACAGGCAGAAGGCAGATTAAGATTCAAGTCACATCTATAGTTGTGGTTGCCACAAGTGACTAATATAGGCAAATCCTAAAACACAGTAAGAAAATAAATTCTTTATGCTTTTACAAATCAAGACAGTGATATTCTTTTCACTGGGCTTCAAAGAAAATGTAAATACAGGGGAAGAATAATTTAGGACGTGTTCAGTGGTGACAAAGAAATACTGCTAGATGGAATGGTCTACAAAAAAAGATGAAAGCTTCAAAACTTACTTAAGCAGTCACCAAATTCTCTAAGGATTTACTAATGTATCTGAAAGTACATACCATAGGAGACTACATAGCTCAAGGTTTAGTCTAGTATTTAACTAGTCTACGAAAGAGCTGAAATAATTCCCAGAACCAAACATTTACCTACATGAAAAAACTAGACTGTTGAGGTGGGAAGTTAGAACACTTCTAAATAAACATGCCCGTTTCTAGTTTAGCTTGCAGCAGTGGCACAATTTTGAGGGCAGTGGCACAATTTTGTGG